AGTTAGGGAAAATGGAAGGCGAACGAAACCAGACAACATTCACAAATGATTAAGATTTAAGTACAGAAAAGGTATTTATGGCGAGGTGCGCGAATTGTCGTATTTTCAGTTAAGTCGAGTTGTCTGGACCAGCGATAGCTAAGTGTTACTCAGATATTCAGAAAAACTAGTGCTACTAAATGAATCCCACTGCCGCTAAAATATGTTTCTTTAAAATCTGCTCGTCGAAAGTTCACAACAATTGACCTTTGCTGTATGTTGTATCGATTTATTTGATACTTTGTGAAATCTTTTTACGTATCTGTCATGTTTCTTCTATTTTTACCTGAATACATTTGTATATTTCCTTTATAGCAATTATAATCAATTATGCTGACGCGATTAGGGCACAGATAATAAAGAGACTTATCGCAAGTCTATAACTGCAAGTTAAAACTGATCTCGGCCCCAACAACGACATTTTCATTTATAAAAATGATACGAGCCGTTCAACGTGCTTCGGAGGGCACGTTAAGCCGTCGGTCCTTCTAGGCTAGTGTGTGCATCGACTCTAGCTACTTGCACAGGGTTAAAGATGCAAATGGCATCGAAACCTGCCCGAAAGAATCTTCTCAGCAACAAGGATATACGATATTATTAGTATTATTAAAGCTGATAGCTAAATCTGACATTTGTCTCTTTAATATGATGACTAAATCAGTACTTTAACCCGTGGAAGTGTCCCTTAACGCAATACCACCATTTTTTGGTTATCATATGTCCGTTGATGCAACACCATCTTTTTTACGTTATCATAATGATTGAAGAGTATTTTGAAAAATTACTGATGGTTATTCAATGGTGTACTTTATAATTTAGTAGATTTGGTAATAAAAATCAGTTATTAATTGATTTTAACTTCTCATCAAATTTATGATTTTCAACATCAAATAGAGCACATATATTTATTATTATAAATCTAATCATCTACTTTTAGTTGCCTTAGTGAAACATATTCAACATCAGCCATATGTTTTTGTAGTACTACCTAATGCAGAGTTATCTCGATCGTGTTGGTAGTTTACGATTGGTGTGACCATCTGTTACTGTATCAGTTACTGTGATCACCGTTTAAAATCACCGTTATTAAAAAATCAGTCACTGATCACGGCGTGATTTAAAAATCACCTTAGTCACTATCACTAATAGGAACCATATATCAAATATAAGATCTGCAATTAATATTTGATCAACAAATGTGTAGTTCAAACGAACTTTCGACGAATACTATCACTATTCCGCCCTGAGAAACCGCTAGTTATTAGTGGACTTCAAAACCAATCTAAAGACACAATATCTGTAATTAGAATCAATTAAAAAATCTGGTCTGGATGGTTGAACCAAACAACACAACTGGTCAATATAATAAAGAGACGCTAGGTATCTGTAATACTACGGTCACATTATGAGATACTCTGAAAAATATGAACTTATGCATCTTTACATTCGTATAAAGATCCAAGATAAACGTGGTCCTGGTAGAAGAAGAACATCATGGCTGAGCAATCAAGACAATGGTACGGAAAATCAACTACATCGTGATTTAGAACAGCTGTCAATAAAGTGACGACAGTGAAAATGGTAGCCAACATGATATCCAATGATCAATAACGGTCATGGAACTACGGGAAGAAGTTTTGTAATTATAATGGATTACATCGGTATTGTATGTACATAGCAAATTATAGAAAAAGTAATTAACATTCTTTACACCACGTCACCTGAAAAGAATCAACAGAAAAATTAATAAAATATGTAGCTGGAAGAAATCGATATTAAAGCTAGAAAAGATATAATTTTTTCACTTAAGGTTGATGTTCTAGACTTTTGTGACTTATCCAGAATACTGTTTCTCTTTTTATTGCTTATAGGGGTAATTTAAACGATATGACAAAGTATTGTTATGCATTGGTTATCGCAAATTGAGGAGGCTCTAATAGCCATACCTACCTTTTATCCAGAATGTAGCATTCATAAGAACACTGACACTATAAAACAATTTCCTACTTACTAATGATATAAATGTCATTTTACTACCTTAAGATGAATGATTGAGCAAGTATCAAACTTTGATATCAAATAGTTTGATAAATAGTTATTGACTTGATTCCAAATCATACAAATTCATGTCATTTACTGGACACTTGAATTTTAACGTAAGATTTTGCTACAAATACGTTAAGATGTTCAAGCTTGGTACTAATTATTTTTAATATTTTGAACACTGCAAACCGCACTTAGGTACCACGCTATAATATTAAAAGACAATTCTCGAATTCTCACGTCAGATTATCTCTTTTAAAAGAAAAAATAAGTTAATGGTTAAAGAACTAACTTAAAGAAACCTGTATATTATGTTGCATTTATTATGGTTTCTCTTGTGGCTTTATTTAATTAAATAGAAATAAAAAAATTTGATCGGTTTTGTGCGGCATTTCTCTCCAGGATTAGATCAGCCAAAACTGAAACAGAAAAATTGATGACTGATTCAAATGAGGCGTTAAAAGTTATGTGGTCTAAAGTTATAAAGGAGAACTATGGAGGAAGTTATCACTTCTAGTTCTGAGAAAAATAAAAAAGAAACTCTTAAGCAATTACTTAAAATAGGATATAAGTAGGAAAGAAAACATATGCGTCTCCATATTTATTAACAGAAATTAACTATATGAAGCAGTATATAGGTAGAAAATATGTATTCTAGAAATAGATATTTCTACGTATATATCAAACGACATGGCTTATTTAAATGTAAAAGTCAATATGTCGATCAACGGCACAAATTTCAACCGTATAGAAAAATTTTTTCATTTGTCTTCTGGTAATTTTTAACGCTGAATAGGTATTTGTCAGTATTTTTCTGTATCTATTACAGATTTGGACCGCACAAAAACTAGACCGAAATGTGCTATAAAACTAGCAATTTTTTATATTGCAAAACTGTATATTTAAAATTAAGCAACTAGTCACACATGTTTTATCTTTTTTAAAAAGAAGCTAGTTATTAGATAGGAGGATGTAAAAGATAATTGCAGAAACACCAATGCATATTCTTACTTGGATATAATATAATTATTGCAATTTGAACAATTAAAAATGGAGGCAGATTGTTATTGAACAATTTATTCTCTATAATTACAAAGAACAAACAAATTTTGATGAGTTTGCATGTAGTGTGTCTAATGTTCATATTTTAAAATAGTTGCTACTCTTAGGGAGAGCGCCCACCAAAGTGGCGTGGCAGTGGCAAGCAGCAAGTAGCACGCGTCTAGCATAATGTAACCAATGAAAACGAATGATTCAGTTTACACCAAAATGGCAGTGACGTCATTCATTCTAATCATTCGTTTGGATTGGTTACATTATGCTAGACGCGTGCTACTTGCTGCTTGCCACTGCCACGCCACTTTGGTGGGCGCTCTCCCTTAGGACGAGCGCCCATCAAACTGGCGTGGCAAGTAGCACGCGTCTAGCATGTTTCTAAAAATGTAACCAATGAAAACAAATGATTAGAATGAATGACGTCACTGTCATTTTGGTGTACGCTGAATCATTCGTTTTCATTGGTTACATTTTAAGAAACATGCTAGACGCGTGCTACTTGCCACTTGCTACGTGCCACGCCACTTTGGTGGGCGCTCTCACTTAAGTCCATGTCAGACGGTCAAATATTTGATCAAACTAATTTGAGCAAACTGACGTAATGACGTCATAATTACAGTTTGTTCGAATTTTAAAAATCAACCTGCCACACGATCATCGAGCAAAAAGACAAAAGAGGGAATCTAATTGTTATGAAAAGGGGACCAAAAAAGTGGCCTCTGATGGCGGACATATCCGGAAATGCGACTGCGCCAAATTTAAATTTTCCAACACTTATTAACAGTAGCTATAAAATAGTTTTCAGAATAGGTCTTAGACGAGAAAATTTAATTAAATATTAACGATAACAGTCTAAAATGTGAAACAATTGTTAAAAAACTTTAATATAAATAGGATTTCATGTGACAGTTGGGACAAATAATAACATAACCCAACTAAATTTGATTTCTTAAACAAGGAAAGACTCTCCTTGTTTAATTTGGCCTCTCAAGATGGCACTTCCTGTCTAACAATATTTTTGCCCCCACTACCTTTACATTCCATCTTTTGTCTTTTTGCTCGATGCACACGATTCAAATTTAATCAAATTGATGTATGACAAAGGAATTGACGTCTGTTTTGCTTCTTTTGTTAGTTGCTTGGGCTTTATTTACGATTCTAATTTTTCTTATATACAAAGAAAATAAATAGGGTGAAAGGATTTTTATAATAATATGGATGTTTGACATTATATAAATAGCTTCTTTCTCGGTATAAATCAATGATGTAAACCTTGTTCCTGGCTGCAAGATAATTTAATTTTTTTTTAATAATTTTAATTAATAGACAGCCAATTAACAAAAATAACTTCACAAACTCTCATTTTAAAGGATATTTTAGTAAAATTGTGTCATTTTTTCTTATAATATACCGGTCTTAAAATGTATCAAAAGCAGTTGTTAGATACCTGTATCAACGGGTATCATGGGAAAATTGTTAGTTCTCTGGTCTGTATGGGATTAAACCACAATTGCTTGTAATGGAATTACATTTACATTTTACACATTTTATAATTGTTATTTGACGTTTGTATTTAGAATCTGGACATAGTTTTCAAAAAATATTATTTTATAATAGTGTATGGTGGATACTGTTTTCCAAATTGACTGTTGACTTACTGGGCATTGATCTCGTAGGCATACAGTCATGTTTTTGGTTGATAATTCTGAGTGTGATGTTTGTACCCTCAGTATAATATCAAATTATTGTGTTAAACAGGTTTTATTTGCAAACTGACTTGAGAATGTAAAATATAAATAGCATGGTACGTATCTTGAAAGCGATTTTTTAAGATTTGCGATATGAATCAAACAAAGTTTGGTAAAATCATAGAAATTTCCTGTTTATTACTTTATTCAGTATACAAAGATTTTGCCTATATAATTAATAAATAAAGTCATCTGCATGCTATTTTGAGCTGAAAGTATTAATTTTGGTTCTGGTGTATACTCATATAGGTACATATTTGTAAAAATATTTGGTAATAAATCTAATAAAGTTAGTTTTAATCTTAATAAAATTATATAAACATAAATAACATTACTTAGACTTACAAAAATACTTTAAAAGAAAACAAATAACTTACAAAAAAATTAATACATGATAATTTGGTACAGGATAACACTTTTTTGGATTCATCGGATATCTTTTGCTAAAGTGGCCAAACTAGACAACGGTAAGTTATAAAAAGTAGCCCAAAGTAATCGAAAAAAGTGTTGTTAACCATACCTAACTAAAGATTCGCTAGAAAAGGAACCGATCATTGTGATGATGGTAACAAAAAAATCACACGTTATTTTCTAAAATAGATATAGGTACAGGTTATCGCAAAATAATTTCATTTCTAATAACAGCTAAAAGCTCCTAAGATTAATATATTACAACTTAGTTTGTAAAATTTGATAAATAAGCGTGGTAGTCTTAGTTTTTTCAATATTAATCGTCTTCAAGCATTTACTCCGGCAGTATTTTATTACGCAAGTCTCTCTTATGTAATAATATAGCCAATAACATTATGTTTAGGTTATGTTTGTCTCTCACAAATAAAATCGATTGACTCTTATTTCTTGATTAGACCAGCAATATTTTGAATTTTTCGAGTAACACTTAATTTATTTTAAGAGTAAATTCGAAATGCAATATTATTAGCTTATTTGGAAATATTCATGTTTCGCTCCCAACCATCGAGCAAAAAGACAAAAGAGGGAATCTAATCGTTATGAAAAGGAGACCACAAAGTGGCCTCTGATGGCGGCATATCCGGAAATGCGAAAGCGCCAAATTTAAATTTTCCGACACTTATTAACAGTAGCTAGAAAATAGTTTTCAGAATGGGTCTTAGACGAGAAACTTTATATTAATGATAACAATCTAAAATGTGACACAATTGTTAAAAAACTTCAATATAAATAAGATTTCATGTGACAGTTGGGACAAACAATAACATAACCCAACTAAATTTGATTTCTTAAACAAGGAAATACTCTCTTTCCTTGTTTAATGTGGCCTCTCAAGATGGCACTTCCTGTCTAACAATATTTTTGCCCCCACTACCTTTACATTCCCTCTTTTGTCTTTTTGCTGGATGCTCCCAACTCATGGATGTAATGATTTTTGTAGATCATTATTTTTTGACATTCGTGTAAAAGTGTCGTTGATAAGCACATAATAATCAATATTTCATTTTGATTTTTATGGTTTTCAAAGGAATATTCTGTAGTTTTCAACTATAATATATATTTACATTACAGACAAATATTTTATAATAGTAAGTATTTAAAATTTCTGTAGTACAAATGCGTACACTTTCTATTTTTGTTTTGTTTAGTCCTAAATCGATAATATTTAGAAATACACACCGAAAATTATTATTATAGTTGCGATAGAGAATATTTAGCATTTTAATGAACTTTTTAACTTTTAATACTTTTTCCTACAAAAAAATTCAACAAATACACATATCTGAATTGAATTAACCTCATTTTTTGGTCTGTTATTTTGATCTGAAAATAAAGAATATAGGTACTCAAATAACAATTAAATTACCAGTCCCTTTTCAGCGAAAGACAATAAATGCAATCTCTTCTAATGGCACAAATTCTTTTACACAAAATTAACACTAACTGATTAACTACAAATTTTTCCTTCAGACAAAAAAAAATAAATGTTAAAATGTGTTTCAAGTTTTTGTACAATGTTGATAAATCCAGCGGTTAAAATGTGCGCGTATGTTCAACATATTGTGCATTCATTTTGATAAAAACATTAAATGGTAATTATAACTGATTTCGAGTTTAATGTAGTTCAAAAAATTGTAGACCTTCCATTAAGCACAAAGCTACTTACTTTAGTTTTTCCAATTTTGGAAAAAATACGGCGAATAACTCAGCAATTTTAATTCCGTTTGCTTGAATTTAAAAAAAAATATTAAACACATTTATTTCTCAATTATCTCCTGGAGTAAAAAACGGAAACTGTAGAAAACGGTTTGACGCATATGCATAAACGATTTGCACGTGCGCCTAAACTTTTTATAAAGTTGCCGTTATTTGAACTGAAGTCAATTATGTAGATATTGCAAAATTGTACATATTTCTTTAGTTCATGATTAGTTTCGCAGCCTATTTTGATTTACTGTACTAGAGAAATACATTGAAATTACACTCCCGAAGAGAAACAAATTTATAGCTTTTTTTCGCCATTTTATTTGTTATTATATCTACTCGTCTCCATCTTTAGAATCATATCTTATCATTGATACTCAAACAAATTAGATTTTTAGTTTTATAACAAATGAAACCGCTTTTTTTGGAGGTTCTAAAACAATAGAAATCCCTAATTAAACGCATCGTTTGACAGGCATTGTGACCGCAGGTAAGAATCCACTAAATGGTGCTAACGGTTATGCTAACTAGAAGGACAATTACAAATTTTTTAACTTACAAAAATGTAGTAACATCACACTGTAAAATAGTTTTTCATTTATACAATGTTTTTAATATTTGTTTACTACCAAAAAGAATTAAATTTGCTGTGTTTTCGTTTTCAGAACATCCATCATGATTTTTACAATCTAATAATTATTCAACTGATCTTCATTTAACAAAAAGAACACATTTTCAACATCTCACTCAACTTTGGTACAGTTCTGTGCTACCCCATTTATCCACCCTTTAAGAAAAGTGATGCAATTCATCAAAAGTTGGAGAGTATGAGGCGTTCAAAAAAAAGGGCCATTCTGTATCAGACAGATCAGAATCAAACAAAAATATTTATCGGTAGCAGAAAAATTACATTTTAATTGTTACTTATTTAAAACTAACGAACCAAATTTTAAATTTAAATTATTTGTAAATTTGGCTGTTTGATTTGATATTTGTAAGTAACACACGATCCCAAAATTTCTTCGCCAATACAAAGCTTGTCGTACTTCGAAAACGGTTTAAACTTATTAAATCTAATGCACAATATTTTTCTAAGCATTTTAAAAAGATAATCTGTAAATGAAAACTATTTTAATATTGTTTAAACTATATTAACTGTTTTAAATTTTACCTACTATTAATCTTAATATAAAACATACTTTAATTGATAGTAAATTCGAATAGAAAACATTTTCTTTTAAAAGCGCTTGACATTTTTTGTTTTTTAGGTTAAGTGAGGTTATGTCTAAAATTATAAAATCAGCTTTAAAAAGATCGCATTTCGTTTAATTGAACAAGTTTTACTGGTTTCATTTTCTGCAGTTTTTGTATTGTTAATCGTCATTTAATATTTATACGAAGATTTTGACATGATTGAGTGAGTAAGTTGGGATATATTCAAGTTCGACGGGTAGGGTTTCTCTTTGGAGAACTATCACAAACTGGCTAGATGGCAGCTTCTAAAAGTGCACTTTATTTAACCTTTACCAGGATATCAGCTTAATTACTTGAATATAATGGAACGACGATACTAATATATGCTCATAAAAAAATTTAAGTCTTGAGAAATAAATTTTTTTTAAACACTATACATATTTGTAAACAAACCTCTCAATAATAAAATCATTAGCTTCATAATAGAATTTGTAGTGCTGTTATCAATTATTTGTTATTTGGTATATTTGTAATGGACAATACTAATTAAAGCCGCCTTCATCTGTAAAAAATTCCACTTAAAATTAGGTATCATCGTTCCATTACAATTGCTTGGCTCCATACTTTATACGAAGTTTAGTTCTTTGAAGGTAACATTATATGACTAGATATGTTAACAACTCTTAATGGCATATTCTAAAACAATCTCTACGCACCTTAGAAAATCGTCAAAATGTTTCACAATTTTCACGAATGGAAAATTTAGAATTTATCTGAAGGAAGAGAATATATCAATGTAGACTTATAAATCTTACATTTTTATAATTCCGAAAAGTGGAAGTTTGCACACGGTATTTTTACGAGTTACATCACCAGTAAACTAACATTATTTTTCTAGCATAACTTTGTTATATGCCATATTTTCTAAAATGTCTAGATATTTTGCAATTAATCTTTTCTATCTGACACAGAACGACCCGTAGAGAACAGAAAAAACACATATGTATATATACCGGGTGTATCACCTTGTCACTGTGAGAAGAGGAATAATTACAAATGTTGCTTAATAGAGGCCGCAGTTGCGCAGATTATTCGCGATGATAACGTCAGTGACTGCGTCAAAGACGAATTGGATGTTATGCGTGTCTGTTGCGCATGTCATGTGGCAGTAAATTTCTTTGGTTGTCGATTTATTTTTCGCTTCAAATTGGGCTTGAATGTACGCTGCGGCTTCACCGTATTCTTGCGCACCTACAACAAAATTGATGTGTTAATTAATAAATTAATAAATAATATATCTAGTTAAAAAAGACCGCTCGGTTAAACATAACATTTTGAGCCAATGATCGTTCAAGATTTAACATGGATTCAATATTAATTTATTTACCACGACAATGCTCAAGTTTCGAGGTCATAGAACCAGAGTATAGGACAAAACAGTCTATATTATTAATATACACATATTAATAATAGTTATACGCTATAGATCAATGTTGTCATCCGTAAATAATATGATGTCACAAAAATTAACAAATTTTTCGTCTAAATTCGATTCTAAAAATGTAGGACCACTGATTTTATGTTAAGATAACGTTTACACTGCCTAAATAATATTACATTGATACTATAAATTTGCACGTCAATTTAAAACTTCTTATACCTACTGTATAAAAGAAACATACCAATCAATATTATACAAACCATCTACTCCCATAATCAGCCCACAGTGTATACCAGTACAGAGCAGAGTCAGGTAGGTTGACTTGTTAAGCTTACTTCTCTATATTCTCTCACTAATATAATAATGGACGAAATAATACAAGCAACACGTAAAGTTCATAGCTACAGAATGGGGAACGAAGAAATCCACATATTATGTTATGCAGACGACGTCGCATTAATCGCCGAAATAGAAGACGAACTCCAAAGATTAACACACATCTTCAATACAACAGTCAACAATTACAATATAATAATATCAGCAGAAAGAACCAAATGTATGACAACATCTAAATACCCACTAAGAAGTAAAATCGAAATTGATGTGAAAGTAATAAAGCAGGAAGCAAGGTTAAGATATTTGGGAATATATATAATTAGTTACGGTGATGCGGAAGAAGAACGACAACAAAGCATAAAAGCAAGTTAAGCAGTGGAATCTCTTAATGACGCAATCTGGAGAAACAAACACCTAAGACAAGACACAAAAACACAAACACAGACAAGAGAAGCGAAATCATAAGAAGAGGATGCAATATAGAAGACATAAATGGATGCGTGAGAAAACGAAAACAGGATTGGAACGAACACATTAGTACAATGGCAGAGGATAGGATAGTAGGAAAAGCACGAGATAAGTCACCAAATTGACGAAGAAGTATTGGAATACCAAAAACAGATGGTGCGACAATTTAAACAATTTAGGAGACTAATATTGAAGAAGAAACAGACTTTAAAGCCTACATATAAGAAGGAAGAAGAAGAATTTAAAACTTGAAATATGAAAAAGAAAAATATGAAATTAACTTTGTAGTTAACTAGGCTGCTGGATTTGAAGCATGGACGTAAAAACACAGATGGACTCAGTTATTTACATAAAATTGTGAAGTCAAAATTATTTGAATAGGTCACATTCTCAGCACCTTCAACTGTTGTCATGTTTTGTTTTAAAATTTCTTATTCGCGAGTCGCTGAAAATATTACTCCGTATTTTATACTCTACAGGTGCTATCAAACCAAAATAATAATTTATTGGTTAGATTAATATATTTAATTGTAATCAAAATATAAAGTGTGCACATAGTGTGCATTATCATTTAATAATAGCGTATAATTAAGATATCAATCAATTATTTTATATGTAGAAGTACTGAAAACTAACTTCAAATGCTGTTCCATGTTTGTTTACTTTTTAGTAAAAGTTGTTTTTCGATATTTTGGCTGTATTTTGAGTGATATTTGTGAAAAGTGAAATAAAATAAACGAAATATTTACATCCCGATCTCTCATTTCATTTGTAAGTACATACAATTTACAATATTTAAGATGAGGAAATGAGGAAGCGTGTTTGTTTACATTTTAATAGGCGTACCATTGGGTTTATTCATGTTCATTAATGCATTGAATAAGATAAGTTCATGAAATTAGTAGACATTTTAAAATTGTAAGTAGACATCATCTGATTAAAAAAGATCTGTTTAGTACCTTTTTAAAACGTATTTTTATACATTATTACTACTTCCAATTTTTAAAATCTGAATAATTACCCGCAAGTAAAAATTCAAGCACGCTTATGCTCATTGCAGAAGCATCACATTCTATGGAAGCTTCAAAACATTGTGTGTTAAAGGTATCTTATTGCTGTGTCCATCTATGTTTATAAGTCCATGATTTGAAGTTTTTTGGATCACACTTTTGTCCTATTTAGCACGGTTTCTAAACATTTGCACATAGTAACAGGTAATTAAAATTTATCTGTATGAAACCACATGATTGCGTGGTTTTTCGTTTAAGACAGTTAGGGCGTAGGTTTGGTCCATATGGAAAGAAAACACGATTGTATTCATATGAAATTAAATATGTTTTAGAAATGTGGTTGAAATTTCGTCGAGTCCAGAACTATAATGTTAACGGTTTAAAAGTACTGTATTAACTATTTTTAAATGTAATGCGCTTATTAATGTCTAGATTAGAATTTCCATCGTTAAGAAGTGAATGGGTTACATATGATTTTTATGAGTGTAAAGAGTTTACAAGGGGATTTTTGTCACTATATAGAGAGAGCAATAGAGAGACCAGCAATAGAGATACATAAGAAATCAGATTGACTATATTTTATTAAACAAAGATTCAAAAATTAAATACCATCAGCAAAATCCTACTTTGGTGCAGATATTAAGTCTGACCATAACTCGCTTGACGGCAAGTTTAGCGTAAATTTAAAAAATCCACAAATCTAATCCTATAACATATATCTCAAATAACAGAAATAATGACACCAAATATTTATATATTCCACATACGAGAATATCTGAAGAACAACATATCTAAGTCAGAAGTAATTAACGAAGTTGAAACATAAATAAACCACTTGGGAAACATTGGGAGCTAAAAATTACCTGCGAGCCAAAATGACAGAAAAAACCATAGATGACCGACAGTATATTACCCATGATGCGACAGAAGCCTTTCCAAGAGAAAAGACTACGCCGCATATCAGCGTCTAGATAGAGAGATAAGAAAAGTTGTCTGAAGCTAAACCCTAGATGACTGACAGTATATTACAGCTGATGCGACAGAAGCCTTTGCAAGCGGAAAGACTACGCCGCATTGAGACCAGTATATCTTTCTTGGACTTGGGATGTTGATGAAAATTTTGTTTAAAAGTATTATTACGAATGAAATTTGAAGTTCAATGTTGACTGAATAATGTAAGAATAAATGCGAACATTTTTGTCTGTTTCTATTTGGTGGTCGTTCTGTCATATTAGCTTACGATATTTCTCAACACAAAATATCTCAAAGCAATTTATATTGACAATGTACTAATAGGAACGTGCAAAGCGACATACATAGGTAAAATATTACCAATTAAATTAAATTTATGAAGTTCCTTATAAGTTATTCTAATCGCATTAGAATCTTGATTTAAGATCTAAATTATGTTGCGTAAATGCCTTATCTTTTGGCCTTTTACCAAACGAAGCTTAAATTTGAGATGGATGGTTGGCAAACATGCAATATTTAAATCAAAAATGTGTTCATGGGAGTGAATAGTTCTTGATTATAAGTGTGTAAGGGTTCTATGACACCATTAAATAAAGCAGTTATTATGTAAATATTTCTCTGGGTTACGTAGTCAAATATAAGGGGATTTATATTAAATGTCACGGGAAATTAGAGCAAAATTGTAAAGGTTTAACACAAAAATTAATTATATGACTACAGTTACATACATACCATATCTAGTATTGTTCAAAATAAGAATTGTGAATTCTGAAGCTAATTCATTCTGTACTATTATAGAATACCGAAACAGTAAATATTTTAATTATACATGGTGAACTTGTATTTTGAGTAATATTTCCAAATTAAAAATAAATTGCCAAATATGTAAATACTTCTAAAAATTTTATTATGAAATAACATCATTATATTTTAAGAAGCTTTATGAAATGTTAATTACTATTTAACTGGGAATAAGCCACAATTAAAGATAAAAATACGTTTATTGACGTTTCAATTTCCACTTCGGAAATCGTTCTCAAAATACAAACAGTAAATTAAACAAATTTTGTTTTTGGTTACATAGTGAAAAATTCTTCTAATAATTTAATTTTATCTGACTTATTTATATTGACAATTCAGACATACATTATGCATTTTAAAGTAGACGACTTTAAAATGATATTGCCAATATTGTTGAGTTGCGCTCCTGGGACGACTTTACTTATAAGATAGTTCATTCGATTACATGAAATCAACTTTAACTTGAGAATATCCGTCAGAAAAAAAAATCATAGCATGTAATTCGTCTTTAAAAAGACAAACACATGACATGATGACAGTAAAATTCTCCTGTTAGTGATTCCATAGTAAATTATGAGGGAAAAACAGGAAAAAAACCTCATAATACTATCCTGACATTGTAAGTATTTGTTCGTGAATTTAGTTTACCTTCAACAAACATCAAAATTCTGATTTCATATGTTACGTTATTTAAAAAACATAAATGATGTATCCTCTATATGTTACTGACTTACTAATACTGGTATTTTCTTATTAATAACTTCCTCTTTCAATATTGGTAACCAGATCCTACTACATTCTGCCGAGGAATTTGCGACACAATTGGCCTCATTTAGCATAATTACAGCCGCTTCTTTGATTGTTCTTTTTTTACCATCCGTTTCTTTTAGGACTACATTTGAATTATTCCATTGAACCCTATGTTCATTATCCCATGCGTATTTACATATTTGAGATGTATCAAATTCTCTATTTTTAATATAAGATTGATGTTCACTTATTCTAACATTTAATGGCCTTGATGATTCACCTAAATAAAACTGATCGCATTCACAAGGTATTTTATAAATGCAATTCTTTGTCGTTTCTTGTTCATTGTTAGGTTTGGTTTTGGACAAAATAGATCTCAACGTGTTTGTTGTTTTGAATGTTGTTGAAATGTTAAATTTATTTCCTATCCTTTTAAGTTTTTCTTATAATCCTTTTATGTACGGTATTGTTAT